GTGTACGACGAGTATGATGGGATTGTTTTTTTTTGTTCGGATTAGGTTGTTTGTCTACGCTACGGTATGTAGACTATGCTTTGTACGAGTATGGTACATGGCGGGATCGGTATCGGTTGTGGTGGGGAAGGGAAGGGAAGGAAGAAAAACCTGCCTTCGAGAAGCTTTGCCGACTGATGATAAATAGCGTGACTTGTCGGTTAGACTGCAGTACCGTAGACCAAGTTATGGGATGGAATGAATGAATGAATGGATGGATGGATGGATGAATGGGTTGTATGGACATCATCGTCGTCAGTATTTACTCAGCTAGAGTATATAACATCATATCGTGCTCGAGTACACGCGTTGGAGGGGAAGGGGTTTTGGAAGGGATCTACAGTGTGGAGGGGGGGGGGGGTCTTGGTACTGTATGATAATATTATGGTACAGTTAGGGTTTATAGGGTACTTACCGGTTCCGATATGATTTTTTTTTTCCCAGTTGTGATGTGCTATGTCGATTATGTGTGTGGGTGGGTGGTGTGTTTTGAATTTTGGTGTGATATGAAGGCATGGAAGGGAAAGAAGGAAGGGAAGGGAATGGAATGGGTGAGTGAATATTCATTCCTTTCATTCACGAATGGATTGGTATGATGAAGAAGAAGATAAGTTAGGGATAGGGGGTTTATCATACACGAGCGTGATATGATAGGCTACAAGTATGTTTTGTTTTTTTTCCAGTTTTTTGAAATTTCTGGGGATCTACTGGTGTTATGACGGTGGTGGTGATGGAAGGGTGCCCTATGTAGACTATGGTATGGTATGGTGTGGTATGGTATGGTATCATAACTCCCTCGCTCAACTTCGCCATGGTGTTTTTCTTTTTTTATTCTTTTTTTTCCTTTCCTGCTATGAAATTCGTACTGGCCTGGATTTTTGTGTTGCGTAGCGAACTTATTGACCAATGTATCTTGTATCTTCTTTTTTTTCTTTTTCGTTTGGATCGATAGATTGACTGGTGGGTAGTCGAGTAAACTGGTGGATAGTAAGGGTATATTCTACGAGTACTTCCCCCCCCCTCCTCCCTTTCCAAACTTGACCGGGGCAATTTTTTATTTTTTATCCAGTCGGTACAGTACCATACTTATTCGGGGTTATCGTACTGTACTTGTACGGCAACCGCGCCCTGTCTGCGCTGTACGGTACTAGTTACTAGTACAGTATATCTATCTATCTATGATATCTGCCTATACGTTTGTGCATCGACATCAGGCAATCGGGATTGTTTTAACCTGGGGAAGGAAGGGGAGAGGTATGATATGATAGACTACCTTACAGTTGCATGGAAGAAGAAGAAAGAAAGAAAAGAAAATAAGGCTGCGCATGAATGAAATCCTCCCTTCTTCCCCCCCCCCCTTTCCCCAATCCCATCATGAGACAACCAATTCTTGGTTCCTCATTAAAGAGTTTTGGTAGGTTTTGGCGGGTAATTCCTTTTCTTCTTTTCTCTCTGCCTTACCTTACCTTACCTTACCTTACTTGCCCTGCCCTTCTCTGCTCGATTTAAATTACTTGGAGCGCTGTGGTTTAAGGTTGTGTATCCGGCTACGGGTAGGGTAGAAATGGGTAATTTATGGTAGCAAGTCGGAAGGCTATCACTGTAATGGTCTGGTACTACTACCATTATTGTCGATGTTACCATATTTACCGTTAAAAAAAGGAAAGGAAAAAAGAAAAAAAGGATATCGGATGAGTCTTCCGTAGCGTTACTGTTTACCATATAATACTTCGCCACTACTGTATTGGTATGATGATATTATACAGATAACCTGGTTGTCTGCCAATCTATCTATCTATTCATCATATCATATCTATCGACGAACCAAAGTTACGGTACAGTACAGTACAGTACAGTGCAATGTATCCATCAACACAGTAGTTTTTTTTGCCCTGCCCTGCCCTGCCTTCCTTCCTTCCTTCCTTCCTTCCTTTGAGAGGGATGTACGGTACGGTACTTACTGTACTGTACACCCGTACTCAGACACACTAACTACACCATC